ATACTAATATAAACTATATATTACGACTTCCTATAATAAACCACAATAAAAAATATACTAATATAAACTATATATGACGACTTTCTGTAACAAACTACAATATGTGTTGTTATACAAATTATTTAAAATCTTTTTAGAATAACTCATGTTGTAATATGTGCTGCAATGAAGTAGATATAATATTTTATAGAATAAGCAAAAATGACAACTCATATCTCGTAATTTCAAACAATTAAACTTTAAAAAAATGAGTAATTTTTTGAAATAATTTATGTATAAATGAAACACAAAACTTAAACCGAAGTTTAAAGCTTTAATTAATAATAATGATTTTATTATTCTTTGACATAATCAACTGCATAAACTTTATTTTGTTTATTCATATAATAAAGCTATTATTTATTGATCTAAAAGATAATCGCTGAATATGTATCGGCTGATTTGGTCTTTTAACTCCAAATGGATATATTTTCAACAATAAATAGGCAATAACCCATGAAAAAATATCGTACTGATGTTGATCATTATCAATGATTATTATATGTCTTTGATGTTGCATGGGGCACTGGAACATTGTTAATTATTTTAAATTATCAAGTTGTTGATTATTTTAGATACATAAAAAGTACATAAGTTTGAATAATAGTATATATCCTCATATGCAGGTGTAATCCAATTAACGTAAATAAAATACAAATAGCCAGAAAATTCATTCAAAAACTTTTTATTGAAAATTCCTTTGGAACTTTTGAAAACAATAATTTCTGAATATAAGCTGAATATTTATTCCATTAAAATGACGTTTCTCTTAATGTTTAAATAGTTTGATATCAAACTTTATATTTAGTTTTACTGGAGTGTTTCTGTGTTTCAATTATTAAGAGGTATTAATCTTAATGTTTCAATCCACAAACAAGTTAATAATCTACAGCTAATAAGATGTTTATATTTATATATATGTCAGTGTGTGTGTGTGCGTTAGTAACAGGGCACTTGGGAGTTTCGTAAAGAAACCCTTACATATTCTTTACACTAGAGAGTTGTATCGAATATTATGTCAAAATAGGACAAAACCAGTTTTAAAAATGCTGGATACTATAGGATTTTTTTCTTATTTACCAAACAAAGAGTTTTACCATATGACCTCTAGTGACAACTATTTAATGAACGTAATAATAACATTTAGGTACTTCAAATACTTGGTTTCAGTTTTAAAATACAGCATCTTTGTGGATGAAACTGATAAAATACAGCAGCTTATGAAGTCCTTCTTAACCTAAGGTTTTTGTGATCTTTATAAATTGCAAAAAAAAATAAAAATATGTGGAATTAAGAAGCTGGTATTAATATGTTTGAAATACGATATCACAAGAACAGTACCGATAATCTATATATTTTTATATATTATATAAACTATATTTAATCCAATCTTTGGAAAATATAATGTACAAGGATATAATTTTATAAGTGGCATTAAATTTTAAGCTCTGCACTTTAAATACACTGTTTAATAAAAATATAAGTTTAATATTCTATTAACTCACTAACCATACTATTTTTGTTACATAGTATATGAAATATATTCATAAAATAGGAATAAATAGATAAATAAATAAGTATAAATAAATATATATATATATATACACACTTTTAATGCTATCAAAACAGAACGTTACTTCAAGAAAATATACTAACTTGGCAGATTTGTTTATTGTGCTAGATATCCCATTTTTCTCACGCTACCTATGAAATAGCCGTATCGGTTAAGCCTAACGGAAGCCATTTTGTCTAAGGCAGCAATCAAAAATCGAGTTGGTGGTTTTGTGTGTGTGTGTGTGTGTGTGTGTATGTGTGTGCAGAAATATTGGATGGTATTTTGTTTTCAGAATTATGGTAAAGACATTCTTACCAGCCAACGACATCCATGGATAGCGATGGATATCCGGAATAGGGTCAGGTCTCATACCAAGTTGAGAACACGATGACAACGGTGAGCCGAGGTTAGGGTTTGCGGGGTGCGGGAAGAATTGAGTCGGAGCCATCATTGTGGAAGCAGCTGCCCCCCCTGATACAGCCACGGCTGCAGCTGCTGCTGCTGCACAGTTTTGTAAATTGAAGGGGTATCCTGCTACAGCGGATTCCATGGGGTTGTTCTGAGTGTTCGAATAACGACATGATTTGGCAATATCGGCATTAGAAGTGTAATACAAATTTCCAGTTACTGGCACCGAGGACTGTGGGGACAGGGAAACGTAAGGGTACATTCTGTGTTGTGTATGTCCATAACCGGCCAAAGCTGAAGACCCTGCTGATCCTGGATCAGCTGAAAATTTGCTCCCAAGGACGCTGTCTATAAAATTTGAACTCATTTTACATCATATTTCTCACAAAACTTCAAAAGACTAGCTTTACACCTCGTATATGGCTTCTCGTCGTAATGGCCACTGCACATCAGCCTCTAGAACCGCGTAAACATGGCACGCCAATCGCAGGCCCCAGGGCCTTCGTCAGCCAATGACTCGCCGCTTCCGCTCAGAATAGATTATCATCGCTTGAGGTTTTTCTTTTCTTTCTGTGAAAGACAACTACGTTTTTTAATGATGTGAATAAAGCTATTTCTACTATTTTGTTCTAATGAAAAGGCTTATGGAAATGTCAGTATTAATTGCTATTAAATTTTGTGATCTTCGAGGAAACTCCGATTTTTATTACAAAATGGCATTACGTATTCTCAATTGCTTGTAATTCAAATTAATCAAATATATTTACATGTTGTTTAAAAAGGTGATACGAAATAAGAAAATAATTTTTGTAGTATGTCTCAGGTTTAAATGAGGAAAAGTTCGTGTAGAAAAGTCTTATAGAGCTTAAATAAACGGAGCCTAAGTATGTCCCCTTTTTTTTAGAAATCAAAGCATTACGTTTCGCCAGGTATATGCATTTGAGAATCGGTAAATCTGCTTTCGATTAATATAAGAAATTTATCAGTAACGCTTGTCTCATTTCATATGAAAAATTCGCTTTTCTTTCTATTGCTAACAATAAATTTGCATATAATTAGGGTATATTTTAAGAAAATCATTATTTACAGCTGCATTATATTGCCCGTGCATACAGACCATAGACAGGAGAAAAGCTTCGTCCAACACGCACGCCATACTCAAGCGACATCTGGTGAATAATTCGTTCTACTGACTCTGACAGCCACGCTCTGTCGAAAAATATCATGACAACGCCATTCCTAAAAGCAAAGCCAACTACGAAATACTTGAGTAATTAAAATATTACAAAATTTTTTGTATGTTTCTTAATTCAGATACTATCTATGAAACACACAATTCGATCATATCTTCGGATGATATTCGTTTTACGACAACGTTAAAATAGCAATTTCAAGATGAAACTGTGTTTCAAAGGAGAAACAGAAAGATAACCTTATTCGGTGTTAGTACCTGCTCTGACAAAGCAGAGTTGGTGCAAAAGAAAAAAATAGAAGTTGAAAGGATGGTTCATCTGCACTGAGTAAATTATTTATTAAGTAAAATATAAGGGCTCAATTATGAAATATTCATCTCAGTATTGGTGAAATATAAATTATTATATTTTGTATTAGATTTTGATAAAAGTTTTAGTTTTTCATCAACAAGAAATTAAAGTATCGTAAAATGGTTAAATATATTTTATTCTTTAGAGCTATAGGGAGCTCCGGTTCTGTAGTAAAGTTATTATTTGAAAATAATACTACTTTACTAAACAATAAAATTTTTTATTGAATATGCTTTAAATATTAAATGTGCATTATTACGCGATCTCTCACTTATGTTTCATTCATTCATTATAAAAGACTTAGAAAAATCTTTCAAAAAATATAAAATTTAATTGTAGACAAAAGATCACGTGTTTTTGATTTCTTTGAAGAAATCATTGTTTTTATAAAGGTTCTCGAATATTCGGAAAATTTCTACGAGGTTACAAAGAAGTTGTTTATTAAAACAAATAATTAGAAAAATAAGTTTACTTTGTGAGCAAAGTATAGAAAACGATCCGAAAAGAATGGGTTAGTTTGCGGTATATTATGTGTGTGTGTGTTTTTGTTATAGCAAAGCCACATCTATGTGTCTACCGAGTGAAATCGAACCTCTGATTTTAGCGTTGTAAGTCCGAAGACTTACCGCTGTCCCACCGGGGGACAGATAGATTATGTCTCAACGGAATGGTACTGAAAATAAATGTTACACAGAATGTTACTGCTCAAAGAAAGGAGAACGCAAAGTATGGTTTACCTCATTGAAATTTACTGTTTCCAGAAATATGTACAGTAGGAAAATATTAGCTTGCACTAGCTTATAACTCAATTAGATCAAATAAAATAAGTATTATGTTATATAGAAATATTCCTTTCCATCAAGAAAGTAATAAAAATCAACTTAATACCATACGGAGATTAATTCTTATCAAAATTATATCCAGAAACAAAGGATTAACTTCCACAAAATTATCTCAAATAGAACATTAATAAAAATGAACATTAATCAAATAATCTTTTTGTTTTGTCAATAACTTGATCACACAAAAAGGACTACCAGTGGTGGGCACAACACAGATAGCCCATTGTGTAGCTTTGTGCTTAACTACAAACAAACAAACAAACTTAAATAAACTTGTTAAAAATATTCATTTATATAGAAATAATCTGATGACAAACATTCTAGTAAGACATATTTCTTCTATGTGGCAAGTTAATTACTACCATAAATCTGTTTACAAAAATTACTTTAGATAGAGAATTAGTTATTAACAAAAGGAATAATTACTTAAGATACAGAATTAACTATTAATAAAAGGAGGGATTACTTTAGATAGAGAATTAGTTATTAACAAAAGGAATAATTACTTAAGATACAGGATTAACTAATTATAAAAGGCGGGATTATTTTAGATAGAGAGTTAGTTACTAACAAAAGGAATAATTACCTAAGGTACAAGATTATCTGCTAATGATTACTTTAATTAGAGGATTATTTATTAACAGAGAGAAGTAACTATTTCAGGTAAAAGATTAAACACTGACATAAAAGAAAAAATTGTCAAACGTTGTATTTATAAAAAAAAATAGATAAATCCCATTTTGATAAACTCACACTATTTCATCTAAATGCTGACACTTTATATGATACAAACACTTCCCAATCTTTACTTGAATTTATCTACAAATAAATTGTCATATTTAGCATATTGGATACTTAATAAATCTTAATGGACCTATAGTAATCAGTACCATGATATTCATTAGGGCGGTTTACAATGTTTTACTACAGCCCTCAGATTTGGACAGGTTAGAAGAAATTATATGCCTCAAATTTATTACTTAAGCCACGATTTCCCGTAAACGTAGAAGGTTGTTTTATTGTTGAGTATATATTTTACTCTCATAAACTGGCAGCACAATTAAGCCCTAGTTTGCTATAAAATCAGAGTATTAGTTTAGAATAACCTACCGTAAATAAATGCTTTTGGACCCATAAAAACATATATATATATATATTTTTTTTAGATAATGAAACACGATATCAATTAATAGAAGCATGTTACGACATGAAACTGAAAAGGGCTGGGAGATAGATATAATGGCGACCGCCATATTTGGTACTACCCATTTTACGATAGAAAGCCAAGGCTGGCTGCGCAAGTGCTGGTCGAGTATGCGACACTACTTAACTAACCATAAAACGAATTGATAATGCAATAAACACGCAATAAAAGTTTATATATCAAGTACGTTGAAGCGACCAGTAGTGTGTGTTGTTTACGATTATTTTAAGAGGTTTTAAATTACGTAAAACGCTGTGACACAGTCTCCGTTAGAATAAAAATCCTACATGAAAGTTGACCTTAGGGTTTTTTGTTTAAGATATAAGATTTCAATCTAGAAATGCTTTAAATAGAAGAGGAAATTGAGCGTTCAACATTGTGTGACTTAACATCAACATTTTTATGAATGTCACCAACCTGTATCAAAGACATACTTAAGTAGTTGCGTGTCTATACGTATTGAAGGAAGAGTGAGATTGAAAGAAGTAACAGTTCAGTTTGAATCAAAGTGAGTGTATCATATAAATAACTCAATGTGAGTGTACGATAGAATCAACTTGTTCGTAGAAGGAATGGTTGAGTATAAAACAAGCACGGTGCTATGCAGCGTTTGAGAAATTTTAATAGTATGGTTTGTTTGATCATGGTGAGCTCATCAGAAATGCCTCGAGCATCTGCAGCCATGCGTTCTTTGTAACAAAGTTATTTCACCATTCCTGTGATCCAGATGTTAAACTGGGAGAGACTTGCTTGTGTCTCTTACAACCGTTGACAACAAGAACCGATTAGGTTATTGAGAGTACACTATGTATATGAACATATCTGAGTTTTGAGATCGTTCCCTCATTTTATGAAATCAATATTCGTTTAAGTTCAGGGTTGTTTGAGTCCTCGACGTTCTACTCTAGGCCTAGATAAGTATGGTTAATATTCTTGTTTTTTCTTTGAATAGTAACGTAATCTACTCCATATTTGCCACTAGGATTTATACTTCAAAAATTATAAAGTATGCTTAAGAAACAGTTAGTTTATCTTACTTTACTGAAATTGATCAGTAGTTTATAATACATGACTTTATCCTGTTTAAGTAATAGCCATTCTTTGCTGCTTACAGAGAATAAAATTATTGCAAGTTACAAACAATGATATTATATATATATATATATTGTTAACATACATATATTATCATATAACAAGAAATTAACTTATATCCAAAAGTTTGTCTATGAGATTATATATATATTGTTAACATACATATATTATCATACAACAAGAAATTAACTTAAATCCAAAATTTTGTCGAATCGGTCATTATTTTATTGTTTATAAATACTCGCTGAATTTATAAATGAACTTATCTGGTTATTGTGATTGGTGAAAAATTCTACTCAGTTAAAAATAGATTGTTGTAAACTAATCCATATTATTCTTTATTCTTTCGGATTTAGAAGTTAATTTCTGTTTTTTAAAGAAAAATAATGAGTATTAAACGGGTTTTACAAACCTAATCGTACTGGTTTTTATTTACTTGTTTGTGGTTAATGTATGTGTGTCCTGTTACATATAGAGTTGTCGGTTATATCAAGCTATATCATTATGTAAATTGTTAACCTAAGGTAATCTAATATTCTAAAAATGATTGTATTTCCTAAGGATCAACAACGTACAGAACGTTAGCCTACAACAATAGAAACTTGTACAAGGCTAATATTCAGGAATATCATGTAACAATAGAAATCCATTGTTGTAGTTTCAAATATCAAAAAATGTTTAATACTGTAGCCTACTTAAATATAAATATGTAAAATCTCTATAATTTCTAAGATTCCACACCCTG